GTCTTCCTCTGTTTCCTCCGGCGGGTAAGCGTCGAATTGTCTTAGAGCYGGAGTCTTTTCGTATAACAACATGACCTAGCCTGTCTTTTAATTCGCTGAACTATGTCAATATCGTCGTATATCTCGTACAGCTCATCATTCCATCGATTACAGTACTCGCAGTTGCCAATGCGCAAAAGACCATACATCTTTCGCAGAACCTTTCTAATAATAATAATAATGAGTGGCTTTTATAATTTGGTCTTTCTTTTCTCAGTCCGAAGTGGCACCTGTTGGCAAGAGTTATTCTGCGTTGGATTTCGAGGTTGAAGTTGTGGTTGGTGTTAACGCTGACGATATTATCTACGACTGCGACGCCTCTTTGTTTGATGACAGGAAATATTTCGTTTTTCCCTCATTCACTCTAGACCGATTGTTGATTCCAATGATATCAATATCATTGCCGTAGCCCAGTAGCTATAAACTGTTATCGAAGGCTGTACTTCCTCTATTTCGCTCTGCAGCTCGTGTTATTTTCTCCAGCAATAGATTGAAGAAGTCACACGATAGGAAGTCTACTTGTCCGAAATCTCGCTTGGTATCGAACAACTCGGAGAGGTCTTCCCGATCCTGACAAAGCTTTTGGTGTTGCTCAGTTTCTCACCAGTATTAGCTTTGCGGGAATACCAGGTTCAGTCATAGCGTGAATTCCTTTTCGTGCTGTGGAAGACGGTTTTCAAATCGACGAAGAGGTGATGTGTATTGATCTTCCTTTTATAGGTATTTTTCAAGATTTGATAGTGAATATCTGGTCGATTGTAGATTTTCCAGCTCTAAAGCTACACCGACAAGCTCCCATAAATTGTTTGCCGGTGGGCTTCAGTCTTTCACACAGTACGCTCGTTAGAACCTTATAAGCGAGGATACTAGAATATTATTACAAGCGCAAAACGAGCATGGTTCGACCAAATAGCCTCCAACAAGCTTCTGAGCTGGACCGACTTCTTTAGTAAAATCTATATCTTYCGATAGCTGATACACGCTTACAGTATTGGTAACTTCGGAACTGATTACCTGAAGAATGAACTTTTTTAGGTTTCCATATTGTAAAGATGGCGACCGTAAGCAGAGGATTTCATTAGCAAATCTAAGACCAAAATGTTGACTAGCAATTAATCAAGATCGAAGCGTGAACCTACAATCACTTAGAGATAGTCGCGTACACAAAACAAGGTTTCAAAAGCGTAGCGTTCATATTGCACCGCGCAGCCRCTATTGTCAGCAGTATCAGCTTTTGTTGTCCATTTTATTGAACTTGGGTGTTGCTCTAGATTTGATTTATTACCAAAGCGAGCAACCCCTCTTTGTAGTCGCACAACATGAAGCAAGCGCATTTCAATGGCGAAGCCAAGTGCAAACCGGTTAGATAAAGCTCATTTGCATATCTGCAACTGTCAAGAGCCTGTATACTTTATCCGCGGCTGACTCACTGAAAGCGTCTACATAATTGCTTACTATTCACCAATAGAAGTCTATTAACTCAAGAAAAAAACGCATACCTGGGTACAAATTGTTTTCGTAGCTTAGAATATCTATAAATCATAAAATTCAGAAAAGAACTAATAAATTTWTTTGAAACTTTACATGTGTCTTGCAGATACTAATCGCGCTAGTAATAGCCAGCAACTGTTACTCCAGCTGTGGCGCAGCTTTGCGGCGCACGCCAAAAGTCTACAATGCACTCATTACAACCGACGATAATCTGACTTCGAGCCGCGCCTATCCCGTTATACAGCCGACAATACACGAGAGCGGCGTGGCACACTATCCCTTCGGGCCATATAATCCGTATGGTTACTAYTCGCCACCGGTGGTGCGTTTTGGACAACCTATCGTGCCGGGTTTACCACCAAGTCCACAGGTATGTTCCACATTCTTTTTAATTTTTCATCAAAATGTGTACTATAAGTCCGTATATTCGTAGTATCCATACCCAATACCACAACAMCGCATCCCACCGCAGTTCATGGGTCAGCTGCCACCGAACAGTGGACCACARCTGTTGCCCACACCCAGTGCAGCTGCGCAACAACCGCCGCCGCAAGAYGGTTCGCCAGTAGAAGATGCAGCGTCCACAGCAACACCACCAACCGAAGAGCAACAACCCGTGCAGCCACCAACTCAGCCACCGCCACCGAAAARTCCCGCTTTTATGCCGCCATTCGAACCGAATCCACCCAAGCAGATGCCCAACGAGAAATTGCCGATACCTTTGAACGAATATGGTCTACCACCATCGCTTATACCGCTGCAGCAATACCCAAATCGTAATCCCCAGARTTCGGTAGCTCTTCCGCCATATGCTTTCAACCAGTATCCGGTCATCTATGATCCCATTACGGGTTATCGWGAACAATAYCTACCGCCATATCAATATTTCCCCAGTCAACATCAGCATTTTGCGCTGGCTGGTGTGCCTAAGCCACTATTTCCACAASCACCAACAGCTGCAGCCATTGGACCCGCAGTCACCCCGCCACCACCTCCACCACCACAGYATCCAACATCAGCTCAACCMGAGGAAGCAGCGGCGAGTGAACCAGAACCGCAACCGGCCGATCCACCACAGACGCCRCCACCGACTGTCGACTTCGACAGCATAAAGAATGCGTCGAAGAGCAAGAACAGTGCTGTGCCGGACGTGCCGCCGCCACCAATACCATCAGGCAGCAAGCCGCAGAAATCCTAACATGGAATGTGAAGAAATGATTCGGCTTTACTTGGCTTAAAGTTCACTAATCGCATTTTAAACAATTAGGAAAATTCTTATAAGTTATTATTGGTAAACAAATACTCGAATTAATTTAATTTATTGTTAACGAAATTTTTAGTAAAAAAATTTTGTATTTTTGCATTTAACTCTTATTGTCGTACATCAATATTATGTTGGATATATTGTAGTCATTAAAACATTAATTTGTCATAAATATTTTCAGCGTTTTTTTGTACGACCTCAGTATCGGTCGTTTCTTTCGAGTGATCATACTCATAAGGTCTGAGAACAAGAATACCTCACTGGGGGTCAAATCGAGAGAAAACGATTCATGCGAAAGCAATTTGATGCAATTTTCGCGATATCACCAAAACTTTTTTTTAATAATTCAGGTTGTCAGCTATCTCGGACACCCTAATTTTGGGGTCGTCCAAAATCATTTGACCAATTTTTTGATGTTTTCGTCCGATGTAGTATCTTTAGACGTCAACGGGATTCGGCGTCTTCGGCGCTCTGAGCCCGGATAACATCCAACAAGCCATTTCTGGTATCCGCCTTAAGTTTTTACCAAAAGTTCCTTTTCCTTCATTTTTTGTCAAGATTTACGAACAAATTGTCGCACAGCCGACAATTACACATGTGTATTTTGAAGGTCAGGTCGAATCTACATTCGTACATATATGGATTCAATTAAAGTATCGCTCGACGACTTATATGCTTATGTACCATGTAGACTTAAAGAGGTTAGGGAAGATAGTTGATCCCTCAGCAAGGCAGGGCCTCGACTAAGACTTTTATGTACATACGAAAAACTCCTGTGATTAAATATCCGCTATCTATYGGCAAAAAAGTGGCTTAACCTATCACAAATCTTCTTGGGTATTTTATCTCTATTTCAKCTATTTCACCTGGATACCTAGAAGTATGACATCTGTCTTTTTGCTTTGATCTGGCAAAAGGGGGACATTCTCAAAGAAAATGTTGAGATGATTCCATCTCATCATCTTCCAAACGGTTTATCCTAGGCCAGAAGGACCTTGGCCTGCACAGCTACTGGTAATTAACCAACACTTGTTGAGCTGATCTGAGGCTCAACTATCCAGTAGTGTAACACAACAAGCGAACGGATGTCTTACCCGTTCTCATTCCGCAGTACCTATCCCAGCAAGGTCATCAGCYTTACAGTTTTCTGCAATATCATTGTGACCAGGGACCCAAACGAGTCTAATCATAAAATAAGTCGAGTCTAGAGATAAGGAGTCTATACATCCTTTTACTAGTCTTTAGCGTACAGTCTGCGCACCCAAGGCTAATGACGCTGTCGTGCTATCGGAGTGGATTGTCTCTGAAAGAGGGAGCGCTTTGAAGCGGTATATCTACTACTACTATCTTTATGGCAGCCCTGTCCGCTTGGAAGACGCTGCAGTGGTCAGAAAGCCTAAGGCTGGTACAGATGGAAARTTCCCGACAGTGTACTCCTCCATCAACCCTCTCTTCAAGCTTTAACCATATAGTAGTTAATATTCAAGCAATAAAGCGAAGTAAATCCAGGTTCATCAAGTCTTTTCAAAACTTTGACGCATCATCGAAGATATGTATACATGCATATGYACTAGTTATATTTATTCACAGAACAATAAAGTACAGAACTTATAAATTTTATGAGATGAAAAGCAAGCAGATCGCTCCGACGCCATCAAAGCCTAGAACTAACCTAATAGATAGGAGAAATACGCTAAAACTAACCAAAACGAAGTGGATATTTATGTCATTGTATCGTCAGAAGAATTCCCACTTTGAAGAATGTCGCCGAGTTGACAATTCTTGTCTAATAAAAACCGAATCCGCACCGTCTAGTTACATACCAGTTAGTTAGAACCGACTTAAAGCCAAAGCTTTTAAATTTAGCGTCCATATATTATTGAATGTGTATATATTTTTGCTTAATATACAATAAAAATTTCCTACTTTGAATCAAGGCGGGGGTCACTAACCTTTCGAATCCCTAAAGACCGCATTATCAGACAACACAGAAGAACATACAATAAAACACACACATGACTGTGTCTGTATATCCAAAATAATCTTCACACTTTCGCTTTTTTAACGAGATAATGGACTTGCAATTTCAAGAGCGAATAAATCGAAACCAGATGGCTTTCCAGAAGCAGATCAAAGCAGAAATGTCGGGATGTTTAATAATAAATCCGTATAAAAGTAGAACCAACGCGTCGGAACTTAGTTTTGTCGCAGTGAAATTCTGCAGAAAATGAAGTCTGTCATATTGCTCGGAGTACTGATACTAATAAACCTACTTGCAATTGGTAGACAACGCATCCTCCAATTATATTATTTGAAACTAATTAAAAGTTGTCTTTGTTTGTAACAATAGAGTGTTCCATTGGTGATGGCACTTCTAAGCCATTTGTGCGCAGCCGTTACAGCAAACGTTGGCGCATTGCTACAACTGAGGCAAATGTCAACAGCAGCACCGCCACAACGGAGCAACAGACGATTGTAGGAGTGGTCTTGAAAACAGGGGAAACAACTATACCGAGCAACGTGCCCAAATTTGAGGAAACAACTGCTGTGGTTAGTGCGTCCATGCCACTTCGAACCACAACAACTAGTTCAAAAGTTATAGAGGAACCAGCCAAAAAAACTCTGAGCACCACAACCGAACATCCAAGACATAATGGTCCAAATGGCTTACCATTGGACTATGATTACTATGGTAATGGTGGAGAAAATTACGAAGATGCAGGTCATAAATAATTTAACTTACTTTCTATTCAATATTCTTATCATTATGCAACCTTACAACATTTCTTCATACAAATATACACCTATATAACATATAAGTAGAAAAACTTGAAATGATTTAGATATTTATTTAAATTTTTGTTAATATACGACCACAAAATAATTTRCAACTGCAGTTGAAGAGCAACTGTATTGGTATTTAACCTTAACAATGGCAACTCCTCAAAACAGCTGACCGGCAAATAAATTGTATGCAGTGTTTATTTAATTTATATCACAAAAATAAAACAATAATGTACAGTATAAGCAAATTTTGTGCACAAATTCAGCCAACAATATTTTTGCGTATATCACAATTACAAACAAATGGATTCCAGCGACTAAATACATGTAAAATTTTATCGGTGCATAAGCCCTATCAGAGCCGCTTAATGTGTAGGTATGTGTTTATATAGCTTGAATCGATTAAATGCTATACGTACTATATATATAACTAAATCGAGTTTTAAACAAATCCAATGAAATACTTTGTAGTAGTCTGCTAAGAGCAGTACGAGTAAACACATTTGAAAGTGAGAGGCGATACTCTACGGTGATTGCGCAGAAAACGCCAGCGAAGAAAAAAATGGTAAGTATATCAAACGGTCCTTTATGAATGTAAAAAAGTGTAAGGGGGTRAAGATTTGATATAGACATAAAAACACTTGTTGAAATTGTGAATTACATGCAGAGCGATTGTAATGGATTTCCTCTAAGCATTTGCAAAATTTGAGTCACTACGCATATTAAGTTCGTAGAAGTTTTCTCTTATCGTGAGGTCAATTCCGAGATCAATATGAGATTAWATAAAGTGGTAACAAGTGAAAGTAAGTGTGCTTGATTTTCAAGGCCTTCAATATAACTAATTATTTTTCTACGACTATCGATAAGGCAGAGTTATAAGCCAATTTACCTTATATATGTATGTAAGTGTACACTACTTTTTGCGTAAACTGGTTTGGAATAATTTCTCACTAAGTACCTAATTTCATGCTGATAATTTTTCTGTGCGTAACACACAGTTAGAAGTATGAATAAATGATTAAAATCTATTTTTTTACATATCTAACTTCAGGCAAGACTCACCGAGCAGGAAAGATCTGAACTACTTCAACCACTTCTGGCTGCTGGTTGGTCATTAGTAGATAACCGCGATGCCATATACAAGGAATATTTGTTCAGTGATTTCAATGCTGCTTTCAGTTTTATGTCCGGTGTGGCTTTGCTGGCCGAAAAGTTGAATCATCATCCCGAGTGGTTTAATGTATACAATAAAGTACAAGTAACTTTGTCTACTCATGATGTTGGCGGTCTCAGTGCAAAAGATATTCGAGTAGCTAAGTACATGGAAGAACAAGCCAAACGCCTACTCTAAGCTATCGTTCCAATTGTGTGCGGTATTTTCTTGATATTGTTAAATATTTAAAGTTGTAAAATAAATGTTGTATTTAAAATTTAGCAAATATGTGTCTTATTTTGTCATTCTAGGTAAACTTATAGTAATATCTTGCTTAATATCTCATATTCCGCCTTCTCTAATATGTCAGGCGATGTCTCATCCAAGCTGTAGCCGATTGCTTTAAAGAAAGCTGTGGCATTGGTATTGTTTTTCAACACTGTGAGCACAACTTTATCCATGTGCCAATGTTGGGCGCACTGTTCCAGTAAGTTCATCATGAACTTACCAAGTCCTTGGCGTTGAGATTCTGCTTCAATCTGCATTTCATAGCTATAACAATAAAGATATGTAATTTATTTGTAAATTCCATAACAGCACTAGAACTCACCAGTATAGCACGCTGTTACCATAGTCCATGTCAAAGCGAAACATGGTGTAGGCAACGGGTTGTCCGCTTTTATCTGTCGCCACTAAATAGCGTGCCCATTTTTTATTCAAATCATTTTGCTTTACCTTTGGTTGCCATCCCATTTTTAAAGCCTTATAAAAAGGTCCTACATTACGCTCCGCCAACTTAAAAGCCCATTTCAATGTTTTTGCATCCATATCAGTTTTTGCGCGACAATAAAGTTTGTATTCTGTTCCATTCTTCGCCGTAAACTGGAAAGCATTCTCTACAGCCTCCAACGGGTTTTTGGCTTTGCCGGCATTTTCTACATTTCTTTGTTGATTAGTTGTGTTCGTCATTTTGGAATTTTAATTAATTCGGGTACAATTTGTGAAATTCAAATAAATACTGGCGACAGATGTGTAAAATTGAAGCTTCTATGTTCACATGTGTAATTTGTAAAAATTTGTTTTGCTTTGCTTAAGCGGGAAAAAACAAGGAAAACGTAGTGTTGCCATGCAAATAGAATTTGTTGAGAAATCGTGGAGTAGTTTATTTGCCAAAATCTCACAAAACTAGATGTATATGATTTTTTGTTAATTCATCTTATTTTGAACGATGTATGATAATTTATTATCTTATCTAATAATTTTTGTCTTGAAAACTGATTTGAAATGGAATCTTGCTACGAATACAATTATTACGAAACAAGCACATTTCCATATTAAARTTTTCATTAATACTTTGGGAATATTTGACCATTTTGTACTTTGTTGTTATTAAAGCGGCAGAAAGCACACTTCCAGTAATTAAGAGAAAAGCTTCCGAGCTAATAGTCCATGGCCRCAAAAAAATGTCCGTCCCAGATATATTATCATCCCCAATTGATTGGGAAATGGTTTATAAGTATTCTTATTTAGTTTTCTTTGTTACATTTGCAATTTATTAATTCTGGATTATGTATACATATATATTTGTTAAAATATACAATAATATCAGAGTATATATTTTAAATTTTAAGTTCCTTGACCGAATAAAAATTTGGCTCGTTCCGCTTACGAATGCCATCTTTTGTGGTAACGGTTTGTACGTACGTATTCTCAATTAGTTTGTTTTATTACAACGGTAATTTATTCTTTTTCAAATGCTTCATTCATACAATAAAATCAGAGTATATATTTTAAATCTTAACTTCCTAAATAGATATATCGCTGAGTGAATATTGATTTCTATACAACTACGAACTTTAATWAGTTGAGAGAGAAAGAAGAAAACTTAAAAATGCAATCAACAAGTGTTTTCGGTAACCATTTACATAAACTTCTTCGTGGTAGTTTATGTGATTAAATATTCATTAAACAAATCAACAAAAYAAATTAAGTCTCTTCAAAAATGTTGCGAAACACAGAATGAATTTCGTTTAACATATCACTCGCCACCATACTGCGACCCCATTTCTGAAAACCAGCCGCATTGCATTGCTTCACCAAGTAGCTCGCCGCAAACGTTGCTATAAAGGCCGCATTTGACTGATTAGACTCTAAAGCCCAATGGAAAAAGGTAGCAATCGAACCGCACAGCAAATCACCTTGTCCACCGCAACGACGTCCAGAACCACCAGATGGTAGTGTGTAAATTTCAGAGGTACTTGGTATAAAAATTTTATCCTGTGCACCTTTTTCAAGTACAATTACGCCATCTCCCAGCTGTGCCATTCGATGTTTTATTACTTCGACATCGGTACTAAATAAACGTTGGAATTCTATAACGTTTGGCGTCAATATGACGTTGCTTAATCCATTTAGTAAATCAATATTTCCATTGAGTATGAAGAGGCCATCAGCATCAATAACTAAAGGCTTATTCAGTTGTTTGCAAAGTTCGATAAGGCAAACCGCAGTCTTCTGTATTTTTGGATCTCTTCCCAGTCCAGGACCAATGATTAATACGTGTAACCGCTCCAACCATGGTAAAATTTGTTCTACAGCATCATCCGCATCCAATAAAGGATGTACAATTAATTCAGGGCTATACGATTTAATAACAACAGCAGCATCGCGTTGACAAAATACATGGGCTAAATCAGCACCTACACGCATAGCGCTAATGGCTGAAAAATATGGAGCCCCGGTATACTCCAGGGATCCACCAATTACTCCAATTCGCCCAGCTTGACCTTTGTGACGGCGATTGCCCTTGCCGTCGCTCACATTTAATTTAGGAACTACCGTAGAACGAATTAATTTTAACAGCTTATCTGCTTGCACTGGTACTTCGATAAACTTTGACATTTTACTAGAATAGGCACAATTCTGCTGCAAATTGGCACCGAGCCAATTACCAATAATCGTTTGCTGTGAAGCAGTAAACAAATAATAATTGAGCCTCTTCACATTGACAAATTGCTTTGACAGGTTCATTATATTTCTGTTTTATGTTTGTTTTGCTTTTGATCATTTTCCATTTCTGGAATTCCCAACAACAAACAGAATCAGCTGTTGCAGGTAAAATTGGTTCGAGTTGCCGTAATTTCTTTTTGTTAGGCTGTCTGCCAAACGGTAACATTTTTCCATGTGTTGAGTTGGGGTGAAAAAATGTCTCAAGCTGTAAACAAGTTTTACATGCTCCCCTGTCATATGCAAAGTAAAACATTTGAATATTATTTAAATTATTAAATATATTTTTAAAACTAATTAAATAAAAAACAAATACAAAATAACAATATTAATGAAACTAAAAAAAAAATTATTAATTTAAATTTTTCTACAGTTTATTTAAGGAATTCTCGAAATACGGTAACGCCTACTTTATCTTTAATTCAAAATTCTCCTTTATCTACTGTTTTGTTATGATCGGTCTTTAATTTGCTGTATTTTCGATTAAAAGTTAAAAAATGTTAAAACAACATGTTTTGTTGGAGTTAAAACAATTCATTCAAGCTGTAACAAACCATAATGGCAATCCTAAGAAGCTTACAAATAGCACTTTGCTTCGAAGTTGTTTTCGCTTGCTTGAGGACCTACCGGCTGCACGCGAAATTATCYTAGAATATTTCTCGATAGTAGCTGAAGTAGCGGTGCAAAATTATTTGGCTAATGCAAATGTAGATTACGCCACTGGACTGCCAATACGACAAGGTAAACAAGGTGCAGGTCCCAGTTCAAGTAACAATGCAGCGACACAGCCAACGGTCATAGAGGATAGTAACTGGTCCGCAGTACAAGAAGCACTCGAAAATTTAGTTGTTAAAGGACCCTCAGCTTGGGGTCCTGTAATAGCTTCGTGGAG